GGATGGATGGATGGATGGATGGATGGATGGATGGATTGGTAGGTGAATGGGTGGGTGGATGCATGGGTCCGTGGATGGACGGATGGATAAATTGAATAAATTAATGAATATGTGACATTGAGAAGCAATGCTAGGAAAGGGGGCAGCTTCCATAGAGAGACCTTAGGGAATTTCACACACTGAGAAGTAAATAGTTATATGCATTTTACTGCTACTAGCAATTCTGAAAAAAAAAAAAAAAAAAAAAAAAAACAAAATTGGTGATTTAAATTGGTACAACACAAAGGCAACCACATCCCTTCCCGCTGTTACATATAAAATATTACTCTGCTGCTCACAACACGCGCATACACACACCAGAAGGGACACCATATTGCTGTTTTAAATTTTTAATTGAAATGCGTGAGCAGACCAGAATGCGTAACAGAAGTCTTCGTCGAGCGTGTATCTTAAGCCAATGAACCACTGTCCAGAAACAGGAGTTCTCTTCCCCACAGAAGCTACGCCAGACTCAAATATTCATCATCTGGGCTCCTCCTGAAGTATGTCAGACTTGGGCTCCTGTTCTTTGTAACCCAACACCACAGCACAGAGCACCAGTCTTTCCCCAGAATAACTGTACCGTGTTACTCGGACAGCTGAGTACCATCCCAACCCAGTCCCTCTAAGGCTATATCCCAATGGCTATCTTCAATTAGCCCCGGGAGCATCCTGTGTGTGATGTCAGCCAAGACTGCCTCCCAGAGCTGAAGGAAGCAAACCCTCCGTCACTCACATCGTGCAAAAGCTGTCACCACAACTGATGTCACGGACGCGCCCAGATTCCCCTAGCCAAGGGCTCACCTGCTTGACAGGATGGAAACTCTGGCCAGACACACCCACCGGGTTAGGACATAACCATCACCACGTGGTTCAAACCGGTCTACCAGACCCTTCGATGCTCCACAGTACATGCAAGACAAACCATTCCAACTTTTAAAACGTCACATTTACCTCTCTTTAGCTTAGCGATGCCCGTCTTATGATCGTGGCGGCCACAAGCAGCGACCCTGTGAGCTGTTCCAACACGCGGCATGGATTCACAAAATTCGGACACTTCTGAAGATGAGGATTTCTCCTGGAAGAAAGCTTCCAGTCTCAAAAACACTGAGAACTGTCCCCAAAACAGCGGTGTCGAAATGGTTTGGGAACGTGCTGACTTGACCCGTTATTCAGGCTGAGGTAGTGATATCCGGCAAGGACCAGTCACGTGGGACACACCGCAAATGGGTCTGCCTCTAAACAAGGACAAGAACCTCGGGAGACTCTCTTAGCGTGAGCAAGGTGTCGCCAGAACCACCTGGACTAAACCCTTGGTTCTTCCAAACTGACATGACGCTCCCTGCCCCAAGCCGGCTAGAATCTTCCTTCCACATCATCTCCAGCGTCTCCCAAATCGGGCGTCAGTCAATGGCACGTGGCGGTCCAGTTGGGTTTTGCAGAAGAGAAACAGCTGCGGTGTTTCTCAGACGCGCTCTGCAAAGTCTACGTGAGACTCACCCTCAAGATGCCTGAACGTCTACCTAATCCTCAAGGAAAGGACTTTCCATCCTCGAGGGTTCCTGAACGGGTATACCGGTGTCATTAGCTTCGGGGCAGAAGACAACGCGCAGTGACGTCTAACGCTACGTAGGACAGATACGGTAGCACCTGCCCAAGGCAGCATCTCGGAGCTCCTTGGGGCAAGACCAGGGAGCACCAATAAGGGTCTACCAGAAGTTTATTGCCGCTCCCATCTGCTGAAAGTGGGGGGCAGCCAAGAAGGCATGGAGAGCTTGGATCGGCGGGGGCGGCGGGGAGGGCTTCAAGCTGGGTTTTGGATGGTCTACGTTATTTTTTTGAGGCACTCAGGCTGGTCAGCCCTAAACAGAGGCACATAGTTGAACACCTGTTCCCTCTGAAGGGCCGGAAGGAGATGTCCACGCAACGGGACCATGCAACAGCACCGTCTATAACCACACACGGAGCAACACAACCGGTCAGGTTACTGCAAAAACCGGTCCAGCTTCTCCTGGATGCGGGCGAATGCGTCCTTCCCCATGTAATCGATGCGTCCCTCCTCCCAGTGTCTCCTTTCCTCCTCAGGACTCGGGGCCTTGACCTTCTCTTCGATGGAAATCTCGAAAACGGAGACGGCCAGGTCAACCTGGGGAAGACAAAGAGACAGGAGGCGGTCTTTGGAGCCATCAGCGGCACAACATGCCGTCTGCTTCAGCGACTGGTTCTACTAATGACTCTCCGTTCTTTGGAACCAAATACGTGCTGCGTTTCACACCATACTCTTGGAAGAAGATGGTTTTGCTGGCCACGTTTTGTGAAGTATCATTGTACTTGGGTTCACTTTTTCGTAAGAGGTGTTTCAATTTCTAGCCACTGAACCTTTTGAGACACACACCTGTCCTGATTTAAGGCTTCTACCCTCCCCAAACCTCAATGTTTTGAATCACTTGTATATAATCAAACTACGTGAAATCAAGAGGATGTTCACCATATGTGAATAAAGCCTATAGTAGTTTGGACGGCCTGGCAAAGCCATCAAAATAATAATCCCAGTGGTTTTCTGCTCGAAAACGGTAGGGGTTCTACCTTCTTAAAGCAAAAAACTGAGACAACATATAGATACACACGTGTGCAAACACATACACACGCACCCCTTTTGTGTGGCACTCAAATGGGTCAACAAAAATAGCAAATATGTTTGCTTTGAAAATTTCTTACCAAGAATTAGAAAAGATGTCTACAAATATGCATGTGGTAATAATACACACACACACACACACACACACACACACACACACACACAGACGCTAAAGGTGACTCGGGTATTCCCCAGACACTATGTGTCAACGGGATGATATTAGATGCCAGATGGCTAAATTCGAATTTAGATGCTGCTGGGGGGGGGGCCTGGGTGGTTTGGTCTGTTAAGTGTCCAACTGTTGATCTCAGCTCAGGTCATGATCTCACCGGTCGTGAGTTTGAGCTCCCAAGTCGGGCTCTGGGCTGACAGCGCAGAGGCTGCTTGGGATTCTCTCCCCGCCCCTCTCCTGCTTGCACTGTCTCTGTCTCTCTCAAAATAAATAAATATTTTATAAAAAAAGAGGATTTCGATGTCAGTGGGCTATGGTACTCTGTACTCCATTTGCAACCGGGTTTTTAAAGAGTTTGTACAGAAAACGTTCTGTTTTCTGCCCTTGTCCCCGTGTGTCGTGTTCAGGCCATCCTACTGGTCAAGGAAACAGCAAGAGTGGGAAAGAAAAAAAAGGTCTTTTCCAGAATACCTTCTTTTCTCTGTGAGCCCTTGGATTTGGTCCCGGCACATCTCTGGGAACTAAAGCTTTCTGGAAATAACAGGACCCATAGCACACATGTCACACTACGCCAGCACAAAACGGTGTGCTGACTGCATCACCCGTGATAACCAGAGAAGGTGTGTATCTGAGAAAACCAGAAAGTCCCCTGATTCTATGACACACGGAATGGTACAAGATACTGAGCATCGTCCGAGAAAGTGAATGCGACCCAGTGAAGCCAGGCACTAATCACAGACTCTTGCAGACCACTCCTAGGTCTAATTTCCACCCCCATTCCCTGCTCAGAGAAGGTAGTGAACTCACCTACGGTCCCAAACCCACCACCCAGCTGAGCTGTTACATAAGGTCCTCCGAGCAGCACTCCCAAACCACGTTACCCTCTAAACACTATTCGTCTGAATCACAGAGCTTCCAAGCCGTACTCCCGGAGCTGAATAGGCTCACATTCCACATCCTGCCCAGCAGAACTGAAGAGACGCCATCACCAACCGCTCTAGAATGAAGTTGAAAGTAGCGTATTTGGCATTTACTACCTTCACATAGAGGGAGACAGGGCGTTCACGTTTTCTCCACCGCTAACGCCTAGTAAAGGCTTTGTGCCGACTGTCCTCCGTATTATATGGTCAGCCAGATTCCAAATATTGCTATGAACTAGATATCTTTGTTCCCCCAAATTCTTATCAACCCCCAATAGGAGGGTATGAAGACGTGGGGCCTTTGGGAGGTGGTCAGGTCATAAGGGTGGAGTCCCCATGAATGCGACGAGTGTCCTTATAAAAGGGACCCCAGAGGGCTCCCTCGTCCCTTCCGCTGTGTGAGAGCACAGTAAGAAGACAGACGTCCATGAACCAGGAAGCGGGTCGCACTTCCATCCTGGACTTCCGCCTTGCACAACTTTGAGGAAGAAGTGTACCCTGTGCGTCAGCCCCACAGCATATCGTGTTCGGCTATGGCTGCTCAAACGTACTCAGGAACACGTTCAATATGATCATTAGAGGCTCAACGCCCAGCTCTAGAGCCGTATTAACTACTCCTTAAAGACCAAAAGGTGTCTTTCAATGGCTGTTAGAAAAAAAAAAAAAAGTTAGCAATTGCTTTCACTAAATATACGCACAGAAAGAAGAAAATTTAAGAACAGAACGTTCTGGAAGAGGAAGGAAAGCAGTACATGGGCCATTTGGATCAGAAGGCTCACCCCCAGATTTTTCTGCTTTTATCCGCTTCCTTTGAGACAATGGCTCCCTCAACATTCGTTCCCATGCTCGCCATACAGAAAAACAGCAAAGCTCCTGATGGTCAATGAACTTTTGCAGAACGGCGTTTAAAAGAGAGAAAGGCCACCGTGGTTAAGGATGGAAAAGAAAGTGACCACAAGCAACCCAGGCAAGTGCCGCAAAGGACAAGGACGCGGATCAAAAGCACCAAAGAGGCTGGTGGAGTCTTATTGCCAGAAAGTCAGGCTGGAAATTGATGTAGCGGTTGGTGCGTGAATACGGCTGGCCTCAACATGGCGGACGGCATCCACCAGGAGTGCCGGACAAGACAATTAGGGTACCACCTCCAGAGCATCCTGAGGACTGGGGTCCCCGGTGACATCCACAGGGGGCTCCTGGCTCGGTTCCACGGCTTCCACAGACGGGCCACTTTCTGCTTTATCCGCAGGCCGCTAGAAACACAACCAGGCCATCGTTAGTCTGCGGACGGCTTCAGGACAACTACAGCCTTAACCACGAGGACAGAGAATCTTTGCCAGGGGAAAATAAAATCAAAGGCACACATTGTGCTAAATGGCCTCTTCTGCAAAGTCTAGAAATGTGGGCTCCACCACTCCCCACCTTCTCCCCTGACACCCACCGTTTCTCGCACAACACAAGATGCCGCAAGTTCTTATGGGATGTGCCAAAGCGAATTTTTCAGACAGGGATTCAATTATAGTTCACCTCCGAGCAACACGGGGCTAGGGGCATTGACCTGCACACAGTCGAAAATCCACATATAACTGTGGACTCCCCCAAAAGGTAACTACTACTAGTCAACCAGTGACCGAAAACCTTACCAATAATATAAAAAGTCAAGTAACACGTTTTTCTTTTGCATGTTCTATGTATTATATACTGTGTTCTTACAAAATGTAAGCTGGAAAAAAGCAAATGTGATTAAGACAATCGTTAAGGAAGAGAAAATACATTTATGGTACCGTACTGCATTTACTGAAAAAATCCGTGTACAAGTGGACCCACGCGGTTCAACCCCGTGCCATCCAAGGGTTGACTACAGGTTATACCAAATACCCACAGAAGCATTTTACTAAGCTCGCCTCTTGGGCAGCATAGCAGCCTCTGGGTTCAATCTTCTGATGATGCAAGCAAATGACAGCCCAGATTCACGAGGGCAAATTTAGAAAAAAAACAGGGGTAGGACTCCTCATCCTTCAATACTGATATTAAACATGGGTCCAAAATCGTACCAAATTTTTTTATTTAAAAAAATATACGTATGGGAGAATATATGTCATGGTGATGTTACACCTTTGTCGTTTCTAATGCTTCCTAAAGGAAAATGGAGTGACCAAATGGCCGACAGGAAACAGAAAGATGGAGGAGAAAAAAAAAAAATCTGAACAGATGACCAGGTCCTTTATAGACTAGTCACCACACAACGTATTTGAGGTGAGGTAAACCATTCAGAAAGGTCATGGGACGAAGAAGAAAAGCATGGGGAATCTTTGGTATTGACAGACACAGACACATTGAGAAAACAACACTAGGAGACACAGATGTGCGTAAGGAGTATAAATGAGGTGTACCGAGGTGGTCTGGGTCTCTGTGGAGTCTGCACATTGGGGGGAGGGTGGTGATAATGGGTCACACCTCACTCCAGCGGAAGTCTCAAGTTCAGGCCACCCTATCGTCTGTTATAAAGAAAGAAAGAAAAGCAAATTAGGTCAGCCCTCCTGCAGGTATCTGAAAACACCCAATCTCTTTTTTTCTGCATCCATGATACAAGGGCAGCCCGTTAAGGAAGACGTGTGGGACAGACGCTGCCGGGCTCACCGATGCCTGTGTCTACTCCTCAGTCTCGGGCTCACGCGTCCCAGCCTCCTTGCCCCTCGGTGGAGCCACACAAGGACTTCTCACCCACACGCATGAGATCTAATGTGACTCACCTGGAGCAAGGCGGAATACACATTCCTTAACCTCTCCACTCCCAGGTCAGGTGAAGCCTATTTCAACTGGGGTTCCACCAGAAAACAAACCCCGACCGAAAGTGATTTGAGTGACTATTTTCTCACTTCTTCCAAGGATGGTATGCAGCCAAGATCATTCCAGGTGTACGAGAGACAGCATAACGCATTGTGTTCAATGGCTGGCTACGACAGGAGATCCTAATTGTCCCTCAGGGAGTCACGGCAGAGAAGGGATGTCCTAGAAGACGCTGGACTGGAATAAGAGGAGGATCCTGGACCCCTCGATGACTGCATGGAGCCATACATATCTTTGTCACCACAGTTGACTAGGACATGGGCACAGAGTTTTCCTCATTTGGGGATGTTTGTTACACGGCAAGCCTGACCAATTCACAATCGGGAAGCAAGCTTGCACCCACAGGCTGGGGGCCATAAATGCTCTGAAGGCTTCTGCAAGACTAAGCTAATGAGTCAGCCACAGCGACTAGAGAACGCCGAGTATGTGCCCAATTCTCTGTGCAAAAACACTGCGAAAATCACGCAGGTGGACTGGGCTGAGCTTGTAAGATGAATATTATAAATACACCTGGCACTTTATTTCCCCTTGAGGCAACCAAGAGGCTGTCGAGAAGAATCTGGGCAGACATTTTAGCAGTGCCATGAGGCTGAGGACCCCATAAATGATGAGGCATCCAAGAGGGACCCTCGGAACGCCACAGGCTTTCACATGGGACCACACTAAAAGGAGGGCCAGAAACAGCGACTCTTACAAACACAGAAAGCCCGATTTCACACCAGCTCAACCCCTCATAGGGTGTGGGCACACCACCTGTATGAAGACTTCCCGCCAGGAAAGATGAAACAAAACAAAACACAATGCTCTCTGGATGAGGATAATATGATTCAGAGCTTCCAATGACCCCAGCAATTTTTCCATGTACAATGAGTCTTGAAGGCTATTCAAAATCAACTAGCATAGAGCAAAACAAGATCAAATGAATGAAAAGCAAGAGGGAACAAAATCAAACCACAAGAACATGGGGCGCCTGGGTGGCTCAGCCGGTTGAGTGTCCGACTTCAGCTCAGGTCATGATCTCGCAGTCTGTGAGTTTGAACCCCACGTCGGGCTCTGGGCTGATGGCTCAGAACCTGGAGCCTGCTTCTGATTCTGTGTCTCCCTCTCTCTCTGCCCCTCCCCCGTTCATGCTCTGTCTCTCTTTGTCTCAAAAATAAATAAACGTTTAAAAAAATTTAAAAAAAACCCACAAGAACATGAAATCCACACATATGACTTATCAGACACGCACTATAATCAATAATCAAGTCTAAAAAAATACTTTAAATGAAATAAAGGGGGAAATTAGAGAATTTCAAAGGAGTCCAGAAACTGTCCTATTAAATATTTTCTGTTTATTGGAATTAAAAACACAGTAACCGGGGCGCTTGGGTGGCTTGGTCTGTTAAGTATGCAGCTTCAGCTCAGGTCATGATCTCATGGTTCGTGGTTCGAGCCCCGCGTCAGTCTGTGCACTGACTGCGTGGAGCCTGCTTGGGATTCTCTTTCTCCCCCTCTCTTTCTGCAGCCCCCCCCCCTCAAAATAAGTAAACTTAAAAAAAAACTCACAGTAACTGCAGTTAAGTGTCCAGGATATGGGTTTAACAACTGATTAAACACAGCTAAAGAAAAGATCGGTTAACTGGAGAACAGGCCAGTAGAGTGAAGCATGGAAAGCCAGATGGGGGGGAAATGTAGAGAAGTGAGTCACAGATACAAGGAACATCATAAAAAGGCATACTAAAGATCTAATTACAATAACAAGAGAGTAGGTGAGTGGGGAGAAGGAAGGAGAGAAAGAGGGAGAACAGAGAAAGACAGAATGCTCAGAAGGAACACAGGGTCAAGGAGTGCTACAAACTCCAAGGAGGACAAACACAAAGAATAAACAACCCAGAGCCATCGTGAGGAAACAGATAACCAAAGCCCAAGAGACAAATCTTACAAGCAGCCAGAGCAAAGAGACAAATTGCCCTCAAGTGCAGAAACAGGATGCTGGAAGACGGACTTGTTAAGAGATCATGGAGGTCAGAAGACTAAGAAACAACATTTTTAGGGTGCCCTTGTGAAACTACCTGCCAGGGGAGAATTCCACATCCAGTAAAATACGGCCTAAAATGAAGGTATACAGTACATGTATGGATGACATTTTAAGAAATTACTATACAGTTTTTCACTTGCAGATGATGTGATTTTGCATGTCGACTGACCAAAAGAATCGAGGCAGAATCTGTTCGTGTGTAAAAATTTAGCAAGGTAGCTGGATTTCAAAACTCAAACGTATTTCTATACACCCACATGAAGTAGTAAGAAAATTAGTTTTTACAATGATACCATTTATAGTAGCCTCAAAACACACCAAAAACGAGGAATAAGTCTAGTAAAATGTATCCAAGATCCCTACCAAACAATTTAACATATTGACATAAAATAAAGAAGATCTACCTAGAAATATACTATGTCCACAGAATGGAGGGCTCAACATTTTGGTGGTATCAGTCCTTCTAAAACTGTAGAACCTTCTGTAGGTTCAATGCAATCACAGCTGAAATTCCAGAAGACTTTTTTGTTTGTTTGTTTTCCAAGACACTGTAAAGCTGATCCTAATATTCACAGGTAAATTTAGAAGAGGCAGGGGAAGAAGAAAAAAGTTGAGGTACTTGTATGACCAGTAATAAGACTTATTTTAAAGCCATGGTCATCACGGCAGTATGTTACTGGTGCAAGGAAGGGAAAGATAACACAAAAGAATATAGAATCGGAAAACAGATCCATCCGCAAATGGGCACAGGAATGATGGCAAAGGCAACATGACAAAGCAGTGGGGAAATAACAGCTTTGTTGTTAACCTGTGCTGAGTTCATTCTAGATCCACATGTAAGAGTAATGAATGTTGACCCCAAGCCCATTCCTTACCCAACATCCATTGCAGGTGGATTATATACTTACATATAAAGAGAAGACACAATACAAATTCTGTAAGACATGCAACGTCTTCATCACCTTAGTTTTGGGACAGATTTTCCTGAAGGGTGAATAAAACAGACTCTACATAAAGGAAATACTAAAACCTGGCTAAACTAGGAATTTCTGGGCATCAAAGGATGCCATTTGGGGACTGAAAAGGTAACAGAGTAGGAGAAAGTATTTACCGTACTACTGGGAAAGAGCTTGTATCTGGAATATATACACATTGTTAAGACTAACTTTAAAACAGGAGACCCTGGAGAAAAAAAAAATGTTCAAAATATTTGAATGAGCATGGCCAAAAGCGTCACAGCTTGATAAGCATCCAAAAATTGGCTCATGTTAATTCAGCCTCATCTGATACATGCACACTAAAACCACAAGGAGACGCCCCACGTGCTCACTGGTACTCTGGAAGGTTGCTGACGAGGTGAAGCCACCAGGACTCCCACTAGGGGTGCCGCCACTTGCCAAATCCTTGGCAGAATCTACTAACGCAGAAGGGTACATAAAAGCCCACCCTTTGATCTAACGACCCCGCCCCTAAGTATCACCTCACCAAAAACGCATGTGCAAGGGCAACGCCAGGCACGCACAACGTTGTTCCCAGCAGCATTATCTGTATCGCCCCAAACGGTAGTATCCATCAACGCTAGAATCAATATATCATGTCCTCCTACAATTTAACACCATGCAACCCAAAGAATAAATGAACTACTGACTCACTCTGCAAGACAGAAGGATCTCATAAATATGTCGCGTGAAGGAGACGAGACTAGAAAGAACATACTGTAGGATCCCATTTATAGGGGGCTCAAGAGCACTCACAAGTAAGTGATAATGGTGGACCAAGGTCAGGGTAGCATTTTCTAGTGACTGGGAGGGTGAAAGGGGTCTTTTGGGGTGAATTTTCATGTCTGGATTGTGGCTATTTAGAATTTTTTTCACTCTGAAAATGCATCAAGGTATATACTTATCACGTGTGTCATTTTTTACACATGTTATCCCTCAGCTTGAAGGGAGGGAGGGAGGGAGGGTGGGAGGGAGGAGGATGTTCTACAAACAATAAAAACAACCAATAACTTCAAAAAAATAAACGGCATTCCTTGTCTTTTCATTCACTACATTTCCCCACCCAAGATACTGGAGGACAAAACACATGACTGAGAAAATAATAAATGGCAAATATATTTGCCTAATACATCAATGTACATGGGAAGAAAATTAGACCTTCGGCTGTAACTTTTGAAAATGGATACCTGGTTGTCAGTACTGGTTGCCATATTTACAAAGGGCTCCTGTCTTCCATCGGGATCCCAAGGTCAGGACCCAGCTGTTATACATTTATAGGAATTTATGAAAATAATTTTTTGTTTTTCGACTGGGTTCCAGCTCCCCAGATCAAAGACCCAGAGTCAATAATTCAATACATGGCCGGTAGGTGGCAGTGATGCTGTGTAATGAATTCCAAAATAAAGCACTTCGGATACAGAGAAGTCACGCATTCCTTTGGTGTTTTTTCTTTCAAGTTCTTCTTTGAGTTCTAGTTGGTTAACATAGAGCATAATACTGGTTTCAGGACTGGAATTTACGGATGCGTCCCATCCTTTTAAAAGTGTGAGGACTTTGTTGCTTGTAGAGACACAAGGTCATCATCAGAGAATCGAGCCACTGGGATCCTCAGAGGTGACCCCTCCCTGGCCCTAACGACACATTTCAACAGACAAGTCGGATGTCTTCCCTTCCTGCCTCTGCACGTCTGGAGGATCCCTTCTGCCTGAGCACTTGAATGCGAACCCAAGTTCTACCTCCAGGTGGATGGTCCTATACTCCTTCCTCAGCAATCTGCACACACTGGTTACTCATCACAGGCACCCGCCGTTTGGAGGTGTCTGGGAAGCCTGGGGCGCAGAGGCATGGAGGTGCAACAAACTGTAGAGTGCCTTCCACAAAAATGTCCGCTAAACTTTAGACATCGCTTTTTCACTGAGGCGCCTGGGGGTGGCTCGGTCCGAGAGGCGTCCAACTTCGGCTCAGGTCATGATCTCATGGTTCGTGGGTTCGAGCCCCGCGTCGGGCTCTGTGCTGACCGTTTGGAGCCCGGAGCCCGCTTCGGATTCTGTGTCTCCCTCTCTCTGTGCCCCTCCCCCACTCATGCTCTGTCTCTCTGTCAAAAATAAATACACATTAAAAACAATTAAACATTGCTTCTTCACACTGAGAAACAGCTTCCCCAAAGCCGTGTGCAGCACAGAGAACTTAAGGGGAATAAAAGTGCCTTCCAACGTGAAGACTTAAATCCAGAAATCTTTCAACACCGGATATTATCGCAATATATTCACTTGGAGATATGGGGTCTAGGAACACTGGTGTCCTTTGGGATTACCCATAATCCTTTGGGATTATGTCCCCCACGAGTATCTCCGGGCTGATCGAGGTGTGGGCAGCCTGGAGCTCCTTCCAGTGGCTCCCACACAGGGTCTGTTTCCTGGCTTTCTCCCACTTTTGGAGACACCGGAGGCCCTGGTTTGTGGCCACGTTCCTCCAAAGCCAGCGGAGCTCACATCTTCTGTCTCTGCCTTGCTCAGAATCATCTGATCACGAGGTCCTCATCCGGATAAGGTAGCATTTTCAGGTTCCCAGAGTCAGGACGTGCCCGTGTTGGTCGGGGAGAATCATTTGATGTACCCACGGGTGCAATGATGCACGTGAACGCAGGAGCCCTCCCACATAAAACTGCAATGATCCACGTGAATGCAGAAAGCCCCTCCCACGTAAAACTGTGCAATGATCCATGTGAACGTAGGAACCCCCCCCCCCACAAAACTGTGCAATGATCCACGTATAATTGCGCAATGATCTACATGAACGCAGGAGCCCCCGCCCCCCACGCCAAAGCCAGAGCCTTGGAAGCAGGCTCTCAGCTCTGTGTCCTTGGGGAGCCAGCATCTGACTCTCCCATCACAGCCGTGTGGATGTCGAGTACTCACGTCCTCCAAACGGCATCCCTTGGGGGAAGGCGGGATGTCCTCCGTGACCACAGTCTCCTCCGAAGGGCCCTCAGCTGGCCAAGGCTGGCTGGACCCTGCTGATTCTGCACACGGCTCCCCGACGCCAGTCTGCAGAAAGATGAACACACTAGCTAAGTCCTCCTCCTATGTTTCCAACTCTGCAGCTGCCCTGGGGACCCCAAGACTCATACCATGCCCTGCGAGGCCAGTGTTCCCCAACTCGGTAAACATAGCCTTGCCCAGGGAATGCACACAGACCTGGGAAACCAGGACCCCAATGTTCCGAGTCGGCTGTGCAGACAGCCAACCGCTCTGGAAACAAACCCCAGCATCCCACACACCCTGGCCGACAGAGAGCCCCTCGGGCCATAGGGGCTGCTGGCCACGAGACACCTGCAAAGGTCAGCTGTGATCAAACAGGTGACAGGTGGTTCTCAAGCAAGCTGCCCCGTTCTCGTGAAAACCACCTGTGTCCTCACTGCTCTGGATGCCGTATTTCCCACAAGCACCTGACTCCACGTCTTATTTTCCTTCCCCCGCAACCTGACGCCTGGCTCACCGCCCGGCGGGAGCACGGTGGCAACCTGAACGCAGATAAACTTGTATGTATGCGCTCATGTGACACGACCCGAGACCCCGAGTCCTCAGAAAGAGAAGAACCACTTGGTTCCACCAGACAGAACCCGCAGCAAAGACTGAACGACGGATTCTTTGCGATTTCCCATCAACGCCATGCCTGTGGATGGACCGACCTTCCCATACTAATAAACGAGCCGGTAAGCAACGATCAGGTAAGAAAGTTCCCTGGGACCGAATTCCAAAAACCCTTTTGCGAGGCACCTGCCGTACCCCTAGTCGGTGGACTGCACACACATCGTTACGTAGTGCGTTAAGAGTCACCGGGACATTAAAAAAAAAAAAAAACAGATCAGCGCCAATCTACAGTTTCAGAAATACTCTTCACCCACGCGTCGCAACACGTGCTTCAACTGATGATGTAAATTGGAAAGTGTGTCCTCGCAAGACATGGTAATCAATCCCCCGCGGCCACTCATCCCCCAGTGGCTCTTTCCCTGACGCAGGCAGCTAATTGGAATGATTTATGCACGAATCCTGTAAATCTCAGCAACACTCTGGCTCATTAAACATTCACGATTCTGAGCCGAAGGCTGGGGGGGTGGGGGGGGGACAATAACCACACAGGGTGTCTGTCTGTTCAGCATCCTTTATGAAATACAGCATGTGGGAACAGAAGCGTGAGCTTCTAGAAAGTACACCGGGCATTTGGATCACGCACAGCATCTACCCGTGCCCAACGCCTGTTTCCAGAGGGCGTCACCCGCTTACGGCGTGTCCCGGAGCCACGTGCTCTCCCGCATCCCGGAAGCTCTCGTAAAGAGGCAGGACGCTGTGCTGGTAGACTGTCCACCACAGGTTGAGGAAGGACGTCTGGTGCTGGGTCCCCAACCCGGAGCCGTCCTCCAACACCGAGCCCGTCTGCGGATTGTACTTATAGTTCCACGGCTTTGTGGGTCCCAGAAAGTGCACGACCTTTGCACTCGAGCCGAATCTGAGGAGGAAACACACAGCATTCCACTTTCCACTTGGAAGTGACCACACACACACACACACACACACACACACACACACACACGGAAAGCATCACGTGGCCATGAGACACGTCAAAGACAGCAGCAAGTAAACACCTGTCTCAACCCTTCTAATTGGACCCACACTTAGGTTTCCTTAAAGATAACGGTTTAAACACTCAGCATTTGCAGTATTTGGTTTTCTACATACCAAGGAACATAATCATAACCCACTGGGGTATTCCCCCCAAAGCAGAAGAATCAGTCGAGAACCTTATAAAGGTAGATACTGCAGGATGTAGCCCAAAGCATCAGCTCCTCAAACCAGTAGGGATCAAAACCAAAATCACTTTTATAGAAGATGGCACAGGATCCAGATGAGAAAATTGACTTCTCTCCTCTCAAGATTGTGGATTTTCTCCTCTCAACCTTTTTTTTTATTAAAAAAAAAATTTTTTTTTAATGTTTTATTTATTTTTGAGACAGAGAGACACAGAGCATGAACGGGGGAGGGTCAGAGAGAGGGAGACACAGAATCTGAAACGGGCTCCAGGCTCTGAGCGGTCAGCACAGAGCCCGATGCGGGGCTCGAACTCACGCGAGATCGCGCGACATCTTGCGAGATCGTGGCCTGAGCCGAAGTCGGCCGCTTAACCGACTGAGCCACCCAGGCGCCCCTAAAAAAAATTTTTTTTGATGTCTATTTATTTTTGAGAGAGAGACACAGAGCACGAGCGGGGGAGGGGCAGAGAGAGAGGGAGACACAGAATCCGAAGCAGGCTCCCAGCTCCAAGGTGTCAGCACAGAGCCCGACATGGGGCTTGAACTCGGAAACGGTGAGATCATGACCTGAGTCGGAGTTGGACGCTTAACGGACTGAGCCACCCAGGCACCCCATCTCCTCTCAACATTTTAAAACATTTTTTCCATATCCGTCTTCCCATGAAATTTTACTACTATATTTGCACTGTAATGCGTGTTCCGTATGCACATCTCTGGTTTATACATTAAAAAGAATAGGATGTTTGCACTCCCCAAGGACCAATTTCTGCCCCTTGGAGGCAGTCTGGCCCCTGTTAAAAATGCACACTCTAGAATTATTCTGTCCCTATATTCTGCTCAGATTTTCCACTTTTCTTTATAACAGCATCACCCACAGCAGCAAATCTCAAACATTTTTGTCCCAGGACTTTTTGAAATTCTTAAAATGCACTGAGGACCACAAGCTTAGATTTTTTCACGTGGATTCTATCTGTACATATTTATCGCAATGGAAATTAAAACTGAGGAATCTGGGGGCGCCTGGGTGGCGCAGTCGGTTAAGCGTCCGACTTCAGCCAGGTCACGATCTCGCGGTCCGTGGGTTCAAGCCCCGTGTCAGGCTCTGGGCTGATGGCTCAGAGCCTGGAGCCTGTTTCCGATTCTGTGTCTCCCTCTCTCTCTGCCCCTCCCCTGTTGATGCTGTGTCTCTCTCTGTCCCAAAAATAAAATAAACGTTGAAAAAAAAAATTAAAAAAAAAAAAAAAACTGAGGAATCTGAAAACAGATTTAATCAATTCATTAGAAATCAATCACCCCCTGAGATGTTGATGTTCATTTCATACTTTTTTCATGAAAAATAACTGTATTTTCATGGACCATCCCAAGAGGAAACAGCCAGCTTCTTATATCTGTGTGCATTCAGGACACTGTTTTTGGTTTTTTTGTTTTTCAGTGCATTTTTTATTACATCATAGAGTGTCTGTAAAACTCCTATACGCTCATGAAAAACTGAGAAGAAAAGAAAAAAAATAACAGAATTATTTTTATTTTTATTTTTTTATATCTTAGAATTATTTTTCGAGTCATTTTGACTTTGCAGACATTCAAAAGAACTGTGGGGAACCCCTTGGGGGTTCCTCAGACCACACTTTGAGAACCACTACCATTAAAACTCCCTGCCTTGACTTCCTATAATTTATAATTACAAAAGGCAAATGGAGGGAGGATCTAATATTTTTTAATTTTTTTAAATGTTTATTCATTTTTGACAGAGAGAGAGAGGCAAAGCATGAATTGGGGAGGGGCAGAGAGAGAGGGAGACACAGAATCCGAAGCAGGCTCCAGGCTCCCAGCTGTCAGCACAGAGCCCGACGCGGGGCTCAAACTCACGGACCGCGAGATCATGACCTGAGCCGAAGTCAGACGCTCAACTGACTGAGCCACCCAGGCACCCCAGGATCTGATTTTTTTAACCCAAATGCCAAAAGCTGATAAAGATTCTAGAGACAGGGTTGCCGGAAAGCAGCTGCTCTAGAAGGATCTAGAACACAGAGAACTTACCGTTTGAAGGCGGGGCTGTAGGTGTATGCCGTGTTACTGCTCAAGTTGTAGATGAACGGTAAGTGCTTGTGGATGTCTGCCGTGGACCAGCTACTGAAGAAACTGTTCAGTAAGCCTTGATCTGCCCCTAGATGACAGAAGAGCGCTCGGAGAGAATTCAAGACGCGCTTGAAGGGCTTAATATACACACCCACCCACGAGGTCCCATTACGTGTCTCCTCTCTGCCCACTACAACACGACCGTTTGTCTCAAAAGGGAGTGGTCGCCCACACCGTTAATCTTAACACCGCATATTGTCTCCAAAATTCTCCACCCATAACCTAGACCATTGATAATAAACTCACACGTTGTCTCCAGAATTCTCCATCTTGCCCACAATGAACCCCATCTGGTAGCAACACTTCTTCCTTTACCATGTTTGCCTGGTGGGCAACTCCTGGCCCGTACCCAGACAGGATTCTCGATCAGTCTTGTGTTTTCTTTTACGTGACAACAGTCGTAGCACGCTCCCCCTCTATTAAAGCCTGTTCCAGCCAAATATCGGCTTCTCGCTGGGTCACTTCATTCTACTCCTGGGGCTGGCCAACCAAGGCTTACCTCCTGTATGATCAGGATTGGGGACCCATCCTTCCTACTCACTGCGGATGTTTTCAATGCTTTTCTACGTTGCGTATTTACTGACTGACTTCACTAATTCCTAACACCCTGCCTGGCCCTATTCTTCCACACCCGTCTTTAACTCACTTCGATTTGCCATTCACATATCTGGGGGAAGGTGAGCATGAGGCAGGGATATGGCTCCTGGGAAGAGCCCCGTTCTCTTCCACCCACGTCCGGCTTCCCTCGCTTACCATCAAAGCTGCCGTGGTCCATGGCATGTCGCAGCAAGAGGCCGTGCGTCTCAAGAGATGGTTGGAAGACGAAGACGCCGCTGTTGAAGCAGTCCGGCCACCCGGGATCCGGGGCTGCGGAAAACTCCACCCTGTCAAACAGCTCATCGATGTTGGACAGCACCTGGCAAAACACAGCATGGGAAACCGTGTGGCCACACATCTCTTACCTCTGGGATGCGGGTGAAAACGCCAGACACTTAAGGATGGGCAGACTATGTCCAGCGACTGGAAACCCGTGCATGTTTTTTGACCGACTCTTCTGTTAGGCTTACAAGAGACACAGGAGAGCATTACGAGTAAGACTGCTCTCCGGCTCATTTCAGGCGCCTGAAGTAACACCATCTCTGAGACGACATTATTTTCTCAAGGTTTTTAAAACCCTGTGTAGAGCTTGCCCACCTGAATATCCTCTTTAATCCAGCAAAGGTGGCCAATGAAACTCTGCAAACCCGTGAACGGAGAGGTTTCCAAGTCAACGTGATGTTGCCTTCCAGAGCTTAACTATTAATTCCAGATTAATCCCTCCAACACCCATTGCCTTTCTAAATTGTGCTCCGCTTGGAAAAGGAAGACATTACTCCCATGCTGCTATGGGTCTTATTTTCCTTGGCACCTCCCCGTCTTCCCATAGAGATGCTTTTGCCCCACCAAGACGACGTACAATGGACTGGCGACATCCCAACTCCCTGTCACGCTTTAGCTTTCCAATGGCTGGTTTTGAAGGCAGCCAACATAGGCTCCCACCCTTTGGGTCACTACCCTAAATGACAAAGGGAGGGAGCCACAGCCTAAGAAGCCAGCTGTTCCAGTCCCATTGGGACTATGCATTTCAATATACAATCAAGGCAAAATACTTTTTTCTAATTATTCGATTTCGTGTAGATGAAACGATGTGATTAGAAATCCCTCCTAGCGGGGCGCCTGGGTGGCTTGGTTGGTTAAGCGTCCGACTTCGGTCCGGGTCATGATCTCACAGTCCGTGAGTTCAAGCCCCGCGTCGGGCTCTGTGCTGACAGCTCAGAGCCTGGAGCCTGTTTCCGATTCTGTGTCTCCCTCTCTCTCTGCCCCTCCCCCGTTCATGCTCTGTCTCTCTCTGTCTCAAAAATAAATAAACATTAAAAAAAAAAAAAAAAAAGAAATCCCTCCTAGGGAAGGAGCATGGCTTCAAGTCCCTTAGTGTCCCGAACGGGGACTACAGCAGTGCAAGTGCTGTGTTATACCTGGTTCCGATGCGCTGAATGTCAATGCTGGTGACAGAGATGGAGGTGGGGACCCAGCAGTAAGAATCAGCAGGCTACTTAAAAGGGGTCTTTGAGGGGTTCCTCGCTGTCCCCCCGTACTCACCAGAGTATCTGCATCCAGGAAGACGCACTTGCTGTAATGGGTGAGGGTCCAACAGTGAAGCTTGGTGAGGGTGACCCCAAGCTCAGGCCTCTTCAGAAAGGCCAGGTGGATGTAGTCTGCACTCTCCATCAGGTTCACCTCGATCACCTCATCAAACACCTTCGACAGGATAACCCTGGAAAAGAGCCACACCAAATACTAGGAGAGCAAGGGACTATTCAACACAGAACATGCTATCCCTTCAAGATGACACCCCTTTGCTACTCACAAAACGGAGCATGGATCCAAAACCCCAAGCAATCTTTGTGTTCAGGCTTTATTTTTGCCATGGAGTTTTGTATACTTCCCACTCATGCTTAAGCCTTACACAAACTTAAAAAGCTTGACAACTATACAAAATTGTCTTAGACTGATTCTGGTCATCCCTTAAGAAGGCAATTCTCTTAGAAAAATGTGGGTGCTGTGGGAAGGAATGCTGAGCAGATACAGACAATCTCTATCAGTTTTTGTTTTATGATCATTTTTTATTTTTTTCATTTTATGTATTTACTTTTTGCTTGTATTTTATGTATTCAAAACCTACATTGTTGGTTGCATACAAGTTCAACACTCAAATGTTGAAAGACATTTTGTCAAAATGAAATTTCCCTCTATTCCATTAACTTATTTTTTTGCTTATGTTCTACTTCATCATAGACCAGAATGTTTGGGGATGCAAAGAATTAAGGAAGACCTAGAAAAAGGATGGTGGAAGGTCAAAAGGATACAGGGAGCCAATCAGGAGAGTTACCCGTGCCCAAGCTGGAAGCACTTTGAACAGGAAAACAAATAAGAAACCCAAAGTATAAAATGAATCTTCATGGGTCAATATTAGTATTAATATTAGTATCAAAAATATATTAATATCATAATATTAGTATTAATATGCTAATTAATAGATAAGTAAATGGGAAAGAAGGACTAGCAGAAGAATTCCAAATAATAAATGTATTAGGAATGAGGGAAATAGAAAATCACCACTGGGGGTGGCTGGGTGGTTCAGGTAAGCATCCTACTCTTGATGTTGGCTCACAGATGGTGAGGTCGAGCCCTGCATCAAGCTCTGTGCTGACAGCGTGGAACCTGCTTCAGCCTCTCTCTCTCTCTCTCTCTCTCTCTCTCTCTCTCTCTCCCTCTCCCTCTCTTTCTGGCCTCTCCCTTACTTGTATGCATACCCTCTCTCCCTCTCTCTCACAATAAATAAAATAACATTTGTAAACAAGAAAAGAAGATAAAATCACCATTAGGCTAACACTGCAGTAATAATTGCTGTTGACAAGGTTCTCCGATGGATGCTAAAATCAATGGGTGAAGGTTTTGAGAAGCAGCAGCATGTTTTCATAGTCTGAATGTATCTCCCCAAGATATTTATCAATTACAAAGACAAAAATCATAACCCCACAGATAGAACCTTATCCATGTGACCAAGGTTAATATCACCCTAACAGGACACAGCCACATCACATACTCCTTGATAGGATGCCCTAAAAGAGGTACATCACTCTTGCAGACTTTTTTTTTTTTTTTTTTTTTTTTTTTTAGCGCATTCCTGAGATTTTCCCTGGGGGCAGGCGGAGGGGCTGCTCTGCTGCCTGGTGGGGAGGCAGAGCCAGGGCTCCCTGCTTGGTGATTGCTTGAGGCGGGGTGAGCCCACCCAGCCCCCCCCCGGGCCAGCCCCAGCCACTGGGGGGGGGGGGGGGACGAAGCCATCTGCGCCCTCCCAGCCGGACCTTCCTGCCCTCAGCCTAGGGAGGGCGCCCCCCCCCCCCTTAGCTCCTGCCTCTGGCTGGAGGCCGGTGGTGCCCCTGGCCTGTGGGGTGGAGGCCAGGACGCTGGGACCTCACAGCGCAGGATTCCCACCTCAGCGCACGCTGGGCAATGTGAGAAGCCGGCCAGAGGCTCCGGTAAGTGGCCCGAGGTCCGGTGATGCGCGGTGAATGGAAAGTTAGAGGGGGGTTTGTGCCCGCCTGACAGGGATGTGCCTGGGCCGCAGGGGGGGACACTGATAGGCTTAGGTCAGACTGTTCGCGACGAGGACTTCACGCCCATCGCTGAGCCGTCTGCCAAGACACACCTCGGACGGACGCCCCACACGGCGCGACGGGCGGGACGCTTCGTTTCAGGGCCTGGGCAGCCGCCCGCTTGGTGCGGCCTGCTGGCGTCCACCCAGAAGGCTCTTCGCCGCAGGACGGACATTTCTCTCTCAGCCAGGCGATTTCGCCTCGAGGCCCGGGCAAAGTCTGGAGACATTTTCAGTTCTTACAACTGCAGGAGAGGGGCCTTAGCAGATGGTGGTGAGACCAGAGGACGCCAGAGCAAATGCCTGTGACGCCTGTCGTGAGTCATCCAGCCCAGACGCCAGCAGCGCCGATGGCAAGAACCCTGCCTCGACAAGAGAGACTCCATTCGCCTACCCATCTAAATATCCAACTATCCATCATATCTACCATGGCCCATCCATCCGGTATGTATGTATCTATCCAATATTTGTCATCAATCCATCGGACCGCCCACCCATCCTGTATCCATCTGTCATTCATCCAACTATTATTTGTCTATCTATCTAACATATACGAGTGTATGGGGGTATGTATGGTTTATTTAAGAGTTTTATCGGACAATCTATTCATCTATGTATCTATCATATATATTATTTGTTTGGTCGGTGTATTCTATCTATCTATGGTTTATTCATTCATTCACTATCTATGCATTGGTAATGAAGTCGAATAATTCACTCTGGTCTACACATCTAATACCCATTTATCTATCTATATCTTCGTTTTATGTATTTCCATGTGAGTGTATTTATTTTATTCTATCTATCTATCAGTATGTATGTATGTGCTCTTTTTCTTTATATTAAATTGATTGTCTATTTGGTCTATGTATCATTCCATTGGCCTATCTTAAATCTTTATTTGTTTACCTATCGGTCTATCTATCATATGTGTAAGTGTATGTATTTATTTGGTGTATTATTTTATTACCAATGTATTTGTATCTATCTATCGGTCACTTACTCACTATCATCTATCTAATTCATCTGCTCATTTACCATCTATCTATCTATCTATCTATCTATCTATCTTTAATAAGGAATGAAGAATTCAATTACCTTATTTGGCTATCTAATACCCTTATTTATCTATCTATCTTTTCTATGTATCGGTGTAGCCTATTTGGTCTATCTATCTATCATATGTATGGGCATTTGCTAATTTGTTGATTACCCATTCATTCATGTATTACCCATCATTTCCATTTCATTCAATTCAGTATTTATTCTATCGATTCGTTCATTCCATCCATTTGTATATATGTATGTGGGCGTATGTATGTATTCATTTATCGCCCATTTGTTATCATCACTAACGAGCTCATCCATGCATCCATCCTCCATCTACCCAATTCCACTCCATCTCCATCCATCCATCCATCCGTTCCATCTGTCCATCCATCCATCCATCCATCCATCCATCCTAATGAATGAATCATCATTCCATCCATCCATCAATCTATTTATCCATCCATCTTCTATGGGAGTCTATATGGTTCCATTCATCCATTTATAGTGGTATATATATATATATATATATATATGTGGCTTTGGTTTGCTTTCCAATACTGTATCTAAATTCATCCATCCAATTCCATCCATCATGGCCTATTATCTATATTCATCCATCCATGCATCCTCCTCCTCTCCTCTCCTGCGGCTAATCACTTAGTGATTTTTCTCAGGGGACTAAGCTGGCCATGTGTGCAGCTGTTTGTAGTGGTCACAACTAGAGTGGAGGGGAGCAAGGGCCACTGGCACTGCGGGTGGAGACCAGGAAGCGCTGCATACCTCTACAGTGCCCAAGATGCCCATCATCAGAGCATGTCCTGCTCCCACACGGCCAACGGTGCCGGGGAACCCATGGTAGACAGTCTACCCACAGAAAGGGGACAATTTTGGGAACCCCATGGTAAAGGAGGGACCCGCCTGACATTTGCAAAATGGATCTCTTTACTGTTGGAGTCCTGGCCCCAGGACCCCATCCTCATAGGGAGGGCCTTTGCACGCAGCACTCCACACACTTACTGACAGGCCAGAATGAGGCCCAACAGAATGACCCTTGCATGTGATGTGTGGGGAGCACTCGGGAAATAATGGAGCCAGAAGGAAGACCACCACAGAGGCCAGGGAGCCTCCCCCTGCCCTGGAAGCGAGGGGGGCTGTGGGGGGCCAGAGCAGGACTCACACGGGAACTCTTCCCATGCTGTCCACACCTTCCTGAGAACGCCCTTCCCAGTCAAGCAGGTCTGGAGGCTGCAGAGACAGAGAATCTTCTGAGGCCTGCAGATAACTTTTCCAGACCCTGAAGCAGCTGCAGGTGCACACAGCCCGCGGGGTGGGGGCAGGGAGTCTCATAAGCCCCTCTCCCAGGGGGGTCAGGACCCACATACTGCACTCACCAGGTGTGCTCTGGAGACCGTGGAGCATGACGAGGTGGGGCGCTGTCTCATGTGTTCCAGGAGATGGCGTCGCCCACTTCCTCACCGGCTTGTGCAAGGTCTTAACAGCTCTGGGCCCCTCTGGGCCCTGTGACAACCCCACCAGCACCTGTGCCCCGAGGATGGCTACCCATCAAGCTTGCTGCCCTGTGTGTGGGAGTAGGGGCTGCTGGAACCTGGGTCCTTCCCTTCTCCGCCTCCTGCCATTGCTAGGCCCAAGGTCCTGCTTTTCCAAGTCCCCGAGGCCTGCGGCTTTAAGGATGCAAAGCCCCTGTTCCCCATGCCCAGGGGCCATACTTGCCCACTGGGAATCATGAGATCCAAAGTCCTGCTGTGGGGGGGGAGGTGACCTCCTCTGTGAGTCTTCTGTCCTCCTCACCCACCCCAGGTGACCCCTGCAAAGCGGGAAGCCCGGTTCTGTCCCCTGAACAACAGGCATGTCAACTCCCCCTGCAGACATATGTCCTCGGGACCCCAGGAGCTAGAAGGACAATGATATTCATTGGATCCAGGAAGGCTACACAGAATGAAGAGCTCCAGAAGGAACTGCCTGCTCTCTGACCACTGGTCCTTAACGCCTCCCATGGCCCCAGTCACGAAGCTGTCTGGTCTCAGGAGCCCTGGCCCATCTGGCTG